ACTTTGAATACCTATTTTACCCTTACATATTTAGCTATAGATCAGATATACCATTATTAGGTTTACAATTTTGTCCTTCAATATTTTTTTTTAATTTTTTTTCAACTATGTCCTTATTTAATCCTCTTAATTTCTCAAGCATTAAGTAAATTTTACAACTTATAATATTAAACATGGTTCTCATAGTTCAGCTATTTGATCTTCAAATGAAATAATATATGAATTATTCTTGATAGTTTATAATATAATGTTATATATATATATATNTTCATACTGTCTGGCTTTATTCAATGCTGCGCTGCCTCACCTACTCATGGTCCCAACCCCCACACTAGTGGACTGTTTTTGTAAGATTTTGATTCAAGGGCCCCACAGCCCATGATAGGTTTTTGGGCATGTTGAATTTTCACTGGCCAATCAGAGTAAAGACAGTTGACAATCAACAATTTTGATGGTTAACATGAGTCGTGATTACATTGACCTTTGTTGCTTAATCGCGTTATGATTTGGGACACTTTGCAAAATAATCATAGCAGCATGATTTATTTGACTCTTCGATATGTCCCACTAAGAAGCTTCAATTTGAATCATGCCACTAAGAAGTTTTAATTCGAATCATCCTACATTGACATAACATTTGATATAATGTCAGATTACATTTCATCATTAAACTGTTTAAAACACAGTTTTTCCACCCAATCAAATCATGTCACACAGCCTTTTTTCAAAGAATATGGCCAGATTCTTCTGTCATAGTGGTGTTTTCCTTTCGATTTATGGTACTAACTACATAGCATTTTGTACCCCTCGAAATCGACCAACATTTCATTTCAATCTCGATAGCACTATCACTTGACTGTGATTTTCGATAGAAACTACTTTCGTCAAACACAATATAAAAGATGATAAAATTGACTCGACCATGCTTAAACCATATTTCATGTGCTAATTCATATCGAACCTACATGACTCAGTACTTTAGCATGATTAAATAATTAAGCAATCAAGTTGCATACAAGCAATATCCATTTAATAAGAAACCATCTAACCAACCCCTACAAGAGAATTGTATTGTATAGAGTATTTTTTTAAAAAGCTTTCTTGTCAATTTTTCTTTCTCCTGCATTGTTGATTAATTTAATTAAATCAAGATTATTTTAAAATAAATTGGCATTCGTGGAATCCGGCGATTATCTACTCCACGTGGACACGATATTCAATGCGTAATTAAAAATGATAAAATATATTTTTATCCACCCCCAATATTTGATTGCACGTAATATTGATCTCCAATCTAGTCTTTCAGTAATAAGTTTGTCACCAATCTTTAAAAAAGAAGTAAATAGATATCCAATCTTTCATTATAGTTATACAATCGACTCTTAAAATGGTTTAAATCTCTATTAAATTGTCACATGTTTAACTTAGAGCATGTTTGAATCTCATTAAAAGGTTAATAATGCATTTTGGAATAGTAAATTGATGGATAATGCGTGATTAAAAGATTTTTTTTTTTATTTACGTGTAATATTATTTCATTGAGGAATGTGTGAATGAAAAGAAGAGAAAATAATATATTTTGAAAAAAATGAGAATTACCGCTGCTTCTCAACTTGAACTAGTACTCAAGGACATGTTTTCACAAGGGCGACATTTATTGAACTTATTACGCGACCATAATAAAATATTGGCGACTGATTTGTTACTTTTAAAGATCGAGGACCAACTTATTACTAGAACAATACAAACTAATGGTGCAATTTTTCCTCATTAATATACTGCTGATAGCTTGAGTCTATTATAGTTTAAAATAAATCTGCTTAAAATAAAGTACTTGTGGCACAATTTTAGGGATTAGGTTAATCATAATGTTTAAATATATAATATAATTATGATGGAATCGAGGAATAGCAAATTGATTCTTCATCTTGACTATATTATTCTTAAAACATAAAATAAGGTAATAAAGATAGAAAAAGGATAAAACAATGGTGGAAATCAACAAAATCTAATTATTAATAACACATTTTGTAAGTGATGATGTCATATTCTATATAAATAATCAACTTAAATTATTTACTTCGATTTCAAGAAAATCAACGTTGTGCAACCTGGCTCGACTTATGACTGTTTGACATGACTTTCGAAAAGGCAAAATGAACTTTTGAAATCGAAAAGCTGCTTTTAGATTCGTTTGAATAATTTTACGAAAATATTTCTTTTAATTAGAAAATCTTTTAGAGAAAGTTGGACAAATGTGACTTTGTCTAAAAACATTTCCGAAATAGAAAACTCTTTTAAAAATTAGTTTCAAACAAAAATTAGGAAAATTTCATTCAAAAACTCTTCTATAAAAAGTAAAAGTCATATCAAATGGACCCTTATTTTTGGTCAAACTAAAAACTCTAGTGAGCCGGTCAATTGAGAACATGTTTTTCAATCAATCAAAATCAAAGAACCAATTGGTTTCATTTAATACCCAATGACTCAAGTGGAGTACAGATTGAGTATATCTCAATTTTTAAAAGCCAATTTGTGGAAATGTGTCATTATCTACATCTACAAGGAAGGATTGAGGAGAGAAATTTGAATACTTATTTTATCGTTGCGTATGTAGCTATAGGTCCAATATACCCTCATTTGATTTACAATTTTGCCCTTCAAATTTTTATTTTTTTGTATAAAAAGGAAAGATTGATGAAAAACTTTGAATATCTATTTTACCCTTACATATTTAGCTATAGATCAGATATACCATTATTAGGTTTACAATTTTGTCCTTCAATTTTTTTTTTTTAATTTTTTGTTAACTATGTCCTTATTTAATCCTCTTAATTTTTCAAGCATTAAGTAAATTTTACAACTTATAATATTAAACATGGTTTTCATGTTTCAGCTATTTGATCTTCAAATGAAATAATATATGTATAATTCTTGATAGTTTATAATATAATGTTAAATAATATGATATATATATTTCAAAAAACAATAATATGTAATAATATTTTTTATCCATTATTGATAATGTGTTCTTGATTTACCTTCATTGAAATAAAAATTCTTGCATTGAGAAAATGAAATTCATATAGCCATAAGAGAAAATCAAGGTAAACAATTTACAAATAAACCGAAGGATCGCACAAAAAAATGGCATTCATTACCCTTATAGCAATAGTTAATATTATAGTTTTTGTTCATCACGGTTGAATAATGACTATTGAAATTCTAAACCGTCAACATAAACTGATTTGAAAAATAATTTACTTTATGTATATAGTAATAAAACAATAATATCAATACTCAAAACTGGGGTATGAAAAACTTCTAGTTTTCATTTTTGCCTTTATTTATATATGTACCATAATCATTACTAAAAATGCATATTAAGCAATTTAATATAAGTCTCCTTTATATATAAATTTCACTGTTTTATATTAGAGAACTTAAAATGCATATTAAGCAATTTAAGTTTATTTACTTAAAATCGAAGCTCAATATATATAATATATACATATAAAATAATATTATAATACATAAATGTTTGCATTATTATAATGGTAGATTAATTACCTTTTAATATATTTAACTAGATTTAATATCCATTGAAGTGTAAAGTTCATTATTTTATATTGGAGTACTTATAGTTTTACATTAATCAAATTAAGTTTAATTACTTAAAATCGAATCATATATAGATGTAATTTTATAAAATATAATATATTAAAAGTTGCATTAATATAATGGTACTATGGTAATTTTATTATAGGTTATGTAAGAATTTTATTTTCAATGAATTTTATTTTTCGACACATAGTTTGATTTTTCGTTCAGGGTTGGATCTATATTCTCCACTTTGGTGCATTTTTTTATATAATAATTTATATAGGTGTAAATATTTTTATATGATTTACATATTTGTAGATTATGTGAACTACAAATAAAAAGAAGAAAAATTGTGGAATGTAGAGGAAATATATTGTTTACAAAGAAATGTTATTGTAATTAAAATATTACATTTCAATTTATTCAACATTTTCACATTATATATGTAATTCCATATTTTTTTTATTCATTTATAAATTCTTTTTAAAAAAATATATTTTTTTCTTTTAAAAATCTCAATTACTTTCAAAAAACAGTATTAGTACTTCAAAAACAATGCATATATTCATTTGATACATAATATGTGCAAAACATGTGCTTACTACTAGCATATGCTTATAAAGCCACATGTAAGCAATGGAAAATCATTGTGCAAAGTTCTAAAAGGCACAAGGCATTACACATTTTATGATCATACTTCAAATTTTACGAGCCCAAGTGAATTGTCGGAGTTTTTTTTAGCCCTTGTTTTATCCCCATTTTTTTTTTCAAAATAAAATTTTCTCTATTCTTTTCAATCACACATTTTTCAATAAAATAATATTACACTGAAACTCAAAACCTTTCTTATTTTTGAACTACACATTCTCCATCAATCCACTATTCCAAAATACATTCTTACAATAAAATGAAGCTCAAACATGCTCTTGATATTATCTTTAATTCTTCCAAGACTGTTAATATGACATGCAGATGATCATTCAGCAGAACTTCACAGCACTTCACTGTGATGGGGTGGGGTGGGGTGGGGTGGAGGGGAAGACTGGGAGTGTTTAACAACCACAATGAGCATAAGCAAAATGATTTATAATCGAATACCTAAGAATATTATTGAAGTTTCAGATCTTGTTTTCAAAGTAACAATGGCCAGCAAATCCCCTCTCCAGTAAAAATGCCTCCCTACCCTAGGATTACAGAATCGATGATTTAGCAAATTCTTCGTTTTCACTGTACAAGTTTCCACGGGGACTCACCGATGCATGTGCTTTTCGGGGGAATTTATGGCAACTAATATAACCATCACTTAGAATTCCCCGAATTCTAGAATCGAAAAGAAGAAAATGACGAAAAGAAAGAGAGCAGTACATCTAGTTGAATGATCAGTCATATGAATGCTTTTAGGACTGCTTCTCCAAAGCAGCAAATTCCTTTTCTTGCTGTTCTTTTGAATACCTTTGTGCAGTTGCATTCACAATCTTGACAAAGAAGTTCATTAGCATGAACCACACCACAGTATTCCAAATGAAAGCGAGCGAGAAGTCCCATTTCTTTGCCTGATTTAGAAAGTAAATTAAGAAAACTCGAGAAGAAAGAAGATAAAGAAAAAGAAAATGCCGTAGGGGTAAGCAAGAAATGAGAGTACCTCGACATTTAAAGGAACAAGAGGTTTGGTGGCCATGTACTTGTCTTTCATCGAGTGAAGCTTGGCAACAATGTTGGGTAGGATAGAGTCAAAACCAGGTACAAAGCTCAGCACCCAAATTAATTCATTTTCGACCCAACCAAGAAGTTGATTGTTGCACACAGAAATGACGAACAGCGTCTGCCAAATATTATCATTTAATGAGCATATGTTTCACTAAGGTTTAGTGAAAATTAAACATAATTATCTCTAAACTCAGGCCAATTCCAACTCGCTAGGACATTTATAAACCTGTATGTGAGTCTTGATGATTGCTTTCCCTATCATTGTTGCCAGAAAGAACTCCCAAAAAGGAATTCCGAATTGGCCACACATTATGCCTGCAAGATCAAATAACGGATTTGGTACCTACAAAATATTTCTATTAGCCAACGGTACAATCGAGGATAAGAATAAGTGAAAAGAAACACTTGCGCCACCCCTCCCCCTCCTCCTATATGCAATAAAGTGATTCTAAATGCTGAAATCGATTGTTATCAGCATGCCATTGAACTAGAGCAAATATCAAATAACATGTAAAAATTGCAAGCTTTGTAACGAAACATTAAAAAGGAAAGGTGCAAGTGTAAAACTAACCGAAGCAAGAACTAGAATAGTGAAGAAGTTCAGATATTGAGCATGTGACAGGAACCAGAGCTTGATTTGGTTTAGCCGAGTAGCTATAAATCCGTTATGTTCTGTTGATGAAACATCTGACTCTCCCATGGCATCCAATTTATCACCAGATAAACTTGCTGTAAAAACAGAAGGATACATGTAAGGTTTTCCGAAGTAAATCATGTAGTAGACAAAGCCTGTAAGGTTTTCAGAAGTAAACCATGTAGTAGGCAAAGCCGACCAAATTTCGATTTTAAGGATTCTATGTGGACAGAACTCGCCTTCTGATTCCAACAATTTATATCATACTAAGAAAACCCTCTCCTCTTTGCAATTTCAATGTAAATTTCCACTAAATCCCATTGCTACAAGAGAATTTCGCCCAAAGACAGAACTATGAACATCCCGTTCCAATGTAATTTTCCACTATATCCCGTTGCTGCAGAAGACGTTGTTCAAAGACAGCAATAAACATGTAATCAAAGTTCATACCTGCTCTTGAAATAAAGTATGGTGGAAGTTCTCCGAGTGCAGTCCCAAGGCCCCACAAGATTGCCTCTAACTGGACCTGGGGCAATATGGCACTCAGCGGAACCAGTGTACCATGTGAAGATGAAAATAATGGAGGCACAAATTCTGCACAATCCTTGCCAAGCCACGACGGGCCTCTTTTTAATTGAATTGTATCATATGGAGCGCTCTTGATGTCCACTCGACCACACTGCATTGCTTTTATAGTGAATAAGGCAATATGAGGTCCCAGATAGAGAACAAAAGTGTGCAGTCCAGATCCTGTACAAAATATAAGAACAAAACAAATGTAAAGAGTTGTCAGAAAATATGCTGCATGAGACAGCAGGATAGGCTTAGATCCTGTAAAATTTTTCAAATATTTAGATTTAAGCTTTGTGTGCCTTAGTCAAGACTTACACCCTAACATGCACACCTCAGGACATAAGACTTTGGGTGACAGAGGCATGCTTTTATCCTTCTGGCTGCTCTTTTACCAGCCTCAAGTTTTTGAGCTGGTTTTTCACAGCCCATGAAGTTTTCGGTTATAAACACAGTTCAACCCCATAAACCAATTAGAAACAAATGGAGAATAGAGAGAATACGAGTGAAAAACACGTATTTAAGCCCACTACTACTAGAACTGTAGCCCTCTCCAAGTTAAGCTGCATTTTATGTTGGCAGACAACTGGTGAGAGAGGTTTGTAACATGTCTTCACTCTTATGCTTATACTATATTTCTCTTGCTGTTGTCTCCCTGTTTTGTTTACTTTTTCCTCCAGTTTTTCTATTCTGTTAAAGTTAAAAATTGCAAATAAATTTGACTTGAAGTTCATGCAACTTTTCTTGAATTATAAAGCTTCGACGTAACAAAAAAAAAAAGTCATTTATAACAAGAAACTAAGCCTTATTTTGACAAGTCAGCTACGTGTAATATTTTCCTCCATTCCATTTAGCTTACCACTACATCTACAGGAATATTCAAAGAAACTAGGTCCTTAAGCAACTACGACATGTTAATATGTCATGTTAGTTTTGGTCTAAATCTCCATCTTCTAACTTGTTCTGCTGAGATAATATCATTATTGTGGATGAGAATTTTTTTTAGGTATACACAATACATGCTCAATCACCTAATTCGTCATTTCTTATTATCCTCTGCAGGTGCTCCTACCAGATAAAGACCACATATCAATCTTAACATCCTCATTTCACCTACTTGAATGGTAGTTTTCTTCCATGTAATCTGTCACTTTAGCACTTCAATAACTTTAGGGAAATTAAGTCAGATTCTTATGGCAGACAAGGTAAAGTTCACCGGTGTGCTCAGTCATTAAATTTACAGAAGTTTGTGTGTGTTTGAGCCCCATTTTTTGAAAGAAAAGTTCTGTAATAGTGATTTTTTTGGAGAATGTGTGATTAAAAAGTAATGAAAAGTTTTAAGTTTACATGTAAAATTATCTTATTGGAAAAATGTGATTGAAAATGAGTTTGAGGAAAAATAAGTTTTTAGAGAATGGAGGTCAAACGGGCTTATTCCTTACAACTGGATTTGTGGATTCACATGATTATGCAATAACCATTAACTTATTTGGACAATATTACATACCAAGGCCAATGGAAGATGCAACACCAAGAGCCACCCACCATGATCCAAAGCGTATGTATTGCAGAACTTCCTCCACATGCTGCATACAGAGAGAAGGTTTATATCAACAATCCAAGATGAGACAATCGCTGACCAAGAATGAATCAATACATTATATTTAGCAATAAAAACTTTTAACGGGAGAAAACCATCCTTTGCCTAAAATAGAGCTAGGAACATCTGAATTTGAATCAACACAGAGAACAGCATAGCATCACTGACACAGTTGTGCCATATAAACAATAAGGGACTCCTGAAAGTAGTCAAGAGACACCGAGATTCCCATTTAATGGAAAAATATGCCACAATACGTTCAATGGTAATGCAAGTTTTGACCAATTTAGACCACCATGTTTATTACCTTCTCGTGAGGACCATCAGTTGTCACAAGTAGTACACCAGCAATCACAATCATGGTACCCAGAAGCATAAGCCATCCACCATGTGACAAAAGATATGCCACTGATTGCCTAAGATACTGTGTGATGGCAAGAATGAAAAGCTTTAAAGTTTTGATAGGCTGCGTTGTAAGAGTCAAATTTTCTAATTCTTGCTTATGCTTCCAATGGAGTCCTGCAAAAGTAGAAAATCTGTCAATTTGTAGGTACTTATATTCCAGAGTGTATAAAGGGTACTGAGAAGATGGCATCTCATTCTACCAAATACACCGCAGCAGGACTGCATCCGAGAACAATTTCTTTGGGGGCTTATATAATAATTTGTCGAATATTGTGAAAAAAAAGTACAAATTATTTCGTTCCTGTTGACTTGGTAATTGCTCGTTGCTTCTTCATTGTGAGTTTTAGTTCTTTCATATAGCACTACTTTTTCCTTCGAAAAATATACAAGAAAATTCAAGCTCAATTCTCAAGGGATCACTTTCCCTATTGTATTATACGAAATTACTTGACAATCGTTCTTTCTATATCAAGAGTTATCATCAACCAATTTTTCTTTCTTTCTTTTTGTGTTTTTTTCAAAGAATGTCAGCTAGAAGTAAAGATCTACAATTTGTTGACTGGATAATGATAAGACTTGTGAAATTATAGCTTGTATACAAGAACTGGATGTCACGATCCTACGAAGGTGAAACCATAAATTATCTCGATTCCCCGCATATGAGAAACTGCATTCATCTACAAATATTTGACTACCATGTCTGAATACTCCCCTTTTCTATCTCTCTGACTCCCATTCGAAACACAAGAAAGGCACAGTTTAGAATTCTAACCAGATGCTTACGGGCTACGGATATGGATTTAAATTTTAACATATTTTTCTCTTTAAAATATATGGCCAGGAACGCTGAAGTGAAATGATATGCATATTGATCATTAACTCGAGTATAAACAAAATATAAAATCATAGCTTGTACTTTCACCATCCTCCTCCACGGGTCAATCAAACGTAAGACTTTCATATTTATTACATCCTGAGAAGAAAGAAGAAATTCAAACCATGAAATTTCCCATGCACATCCTATGCCAAGAACTGAGAACCATATTGGAAATCCTCAATAAATGAAAACAAAGGGCCAGGGAAACACTGTAAGAAGATCCAGCAAATAGCAATATAATTTTCTTACCTTTATCCACAGGGAAAATTAGGATATTACATTAAGATTTCAACTTAATCACTTCAGGTGGAGCTCAAACCAACAAAACCTTCTTTCTTGTTTTAGTAATGGCATAGGAGCAATGGGACCAATATTTTTACTTCTTTCTCTTCTTTAATACTATCCGGTGCTATCTAATCCTCCCTACTAAACATGTTTTTAAGAGAGTACGTTGCACTAGTTTAGTCCTACCACAATTTCACTTCAGCATATCCTGGCACGATTCAACAATTTAAGAAACATTTCTTAATTGATTTTACCTTCTTGACATCCCAAATCCAAAACCTAAAAAACACTGTTGTCGATGCTTAGATTTGCTTAAGTTTTTAACTATGTTAAAATTCAACATATGAAATTATGCCAAACATATCATCTCTTCATGTTTCTCTCAGCAAGAGCGACAGTAGAATCTATCTTAGATCAGGTACATGAGCATATGCATCATTTCAACAGCTTCTTCCTGAAACATGTTTAGTTCGCCGAATATCATGCTAAAAGTTTGAAATTGAGACAATCCCACAGCTCAAAAACATGCAGTCCGTGATGCCGCTGCTACATCATCATTCAAAAGTCATTAATATCCCTAAAGATCAGATCTGCTATTACGGTAGCAATCCACGTGGATCGACCAAAACAGCTCCTCAGGTTTTGTCTATTAACATTCCCAAAATATACTTAAATCAAATATTGCGCAAAAGAGATATTCTGCTGAGCTGTGCCTCGTATATAAATTCGTAACATATAGAATAAACACCCGAATGCAGCATAAACACAAACCTGAAGACACATATTAGCTTATTTGTTTCTAAATGCTCAAGCCCGTAAATGGAAGCATATTAATGATAATGCCAAAATTGATTGAATTGCTTAAAACCCATGAACAGGTTTTAGTACAGTCAAACTCTACGAGCACAAATGACCCAATTAATTAAAACCCTTTTGCCCTCTTCAGCTCCACGTTCTCCTCATCTGAATTAGAGCTAAAACTAACCCCAAAAGAATATCTCAAAAAATGCATATATCGCTATTATTAAAAGCATGAATTGCCCAAATAATCAAGACCCATTTGTCCTCTTCAGCACCTTCACTATAAAATCCAATAAACCGCGTAAAACTAACCCAGAAAAAATATCATTGATAACGTGCAATTAAAATTCAACTTCATAACAAGCACCTAAACACACAAACATATAAATGGAAAAAAGAATAGAAAAAGAAAACCGTTTTCTTTCCAAGCCGGTAATGAAAAATAAAATCCTCAACATAGAAAAATCAAATAGTAAACTAAAACTCGCCTGAGATTGACATGTCTCTCTCTTCCGGACAAGAGGGCGAATTCCCGTTTGAAATTGATTTTTTCTCGTACCCCATCCTTTTCACAGGCTTTCAAATGCCATCTGAGACTCTAATCCATTGCGTTAGATTTAAGAACGCATGTATATGTAGATATGATTATTGGATTATACGGGGGAATTGTCTGAATTACGAGTCAATCAATGAACGAAAACTGGAATTTTTGTGAGAGATCTAGGCCTAGCGTGAGGAATGAGAACCCCGACTAGGCATCCTCTTCTATCCCTCTGAGTTTGCGTCTGCTTTTATGACCCAAAATCTGGAAAAATACAAATTGCTTGTAAAATGCCTTTTTTTTTTTTTAATTTCTAAATCAATCTCATCTCTTTACTTAACTACCCATTAAAAAAAAAAATCAATTTTCCTTTATTTTCAAAATAATCGACTTAATTATTTTTAAAATTGTTTCCTGAAAGAGAGTGCTTAAAGTGCTTTCTACGGAAAAAAAACTTAAAAAGTCAATTAAAAAAATAGAGGTCTGAATAATTAATTTGAATCATACATTTTACGAGACTCGTAATTTTTATCAATTTTTCAATCATATATTTCACTAGTTTTTATCAAAATTATTTATTATTATTATCAAAAGTTTCGTCAAACAACCCCTAACATTTATTTATGGCTTATATAAGTTATAAATATGCTAATTTTTAAACGAATTTGGATTTTAAATATTTTATTTTAAAATAGTATTTAGAATACTTCCTTGTCATTTATTAATTCATACATGACTAATTTGGGTTTTACACACCATTTTAAAGGTCATATTTTCATACATTAATCACATTGTATGGATGTCAAAATCATGGTTGACTACTAGCATTATGTTGATATTTTTAAATTTAAAGTGCCATTTTTTTAAAAAAAAAATTGAATAGTATTTTAACTTCATTTCAACCACACATTTTTCAATAAAATAATATTACACGCAAACTAAATTTTTTTCTTATCACATTTTCATCAATAAACTATTCAAAAATGCATTTTTTAAAAAAATAAAAATCGGGCTCAAACAAGGCATTAATAACTCTACATAATTATTAATAAAATTTACTAAGCATTGAAATACTTGTTTCTCAAAGGCGAGTAACCTTTGTAAACTCATTGACGACCATAAAATTTCCTTAGGCCCTGTTTGGGAGAAATTTTAATCAAGATTTTAATCAAAATTCTAGCCGTTAACTATCAAATCAGCCACCATTTTTAACTTTCTCTCTCACAGATGGGGTCCACAGGTTGACTATAACGGCTATAAATCTTGAGGGTTTATAGAGACTAATGTTGTAGCACCCCGAAAATTTTAGAATAAAATTATAATTCTATGGCCCTGTTTGAAAGAAATTTTAATCAAGATTTTAATCAAAATTCTAGCCGTTAACTATCAAATCAGCCACCATTTTTAACTTTCTCTCTCACAGATGGGGTCCACAGGTTGACTATAACGGCTATGATTTTGATTAAAATCCCACAAAAATTGCTCCCAAACACGCTCTTAATTAAATTGTCTTATGTCGCATGCCGAATGTAGTAGATTTCTAAACCATGTGGTATAATAAACCATTTTAGTCCTTATTTGACCTCCATTAAAATTATAATTTATCTTTCTTTATCTTTTTATTAATAACACATTTTTCAATAAAATAATATTACACGTCATTATGAAATTTCTTCTTCTTTTTTAATCACACTTTTTCAGAAAAACACTATTACAACCATTAAATTTCAAGTAATGGGAGCCAAACGGGGCTAACTCTTTTAAAGTACTTATAATTCAAGCAAGATTATGTGTGTGTTTAACATGATTTTTAAAACGTCAAAAGTTATTTTTGAGACTAAGATCTTTCTTTTGAACATGTTTGGATTATTTTTTAAAAAAATTATTTTGCCGGTCTATAAAAATTATTAGAGAAAGTTGGTCTAATATGACATCTTCGAAAAACTCTTCTTTAAAAAAAAAAGCAATTACTGCATAAAAAAATTATTGGACATTGTCTAAGTTTCAATTATAAAATGTTTTGGTACAGACTTGCACAAACTATGTAAACATACTTCTCTTTATTTCAACTACGTCGTACATTTCCTTTATCGAGTATGAGCTGAGGACAGAATACTGAAAATTTGCTTCGAAAATGTTGGTATTTATTAACTTGACCTATTATTTATGGTATTGATTAACTTGATGTATTATTTCTGCGAGACCTGCAAATCGATTACGAGACTTCGAATGTCGAATGTATTTTACTTTGCAAAAAGACGATTATAGTATATTTGGGAGTCATATTTTGTTACTATTTATAATTTATTTATAAACAGACAAATCATTTTTTCTTTGAGGCCATCACATAATCTAAACTGGTGTTATAGTATCAGTGATACTAGATAATATTATTTTAGCTAACCTAATTCTTTGTAAATTAAAGATTATTCCTGTGTTTAACTCGTTCGCATGTTTTCTAACAGTTGTGTCTTGAATGAGTACCCATTCATCCGTGCCAAACTGTTGAGATTTGGGGTTCTATAAAATAATATTAACTTATTCTTTTATAAACTCAAGATCCTCTGCGACTAGGGACTTTAGTTCATAGTTTTTCTCACATTTGAGTCCCGGAATGAAGTACAAATTCATCTGTGGCAAAATGTTGTTCCATCAAAACATGTTACTTATTAGGAGATGCAATTCTCTTATAACTTAAGATCGTTGGCATGTCCAACTGGTGGGGGCTTTAATTCTAACAATTTTATATTGAATGAATCTGTGGCAAAATGTTGAGCTTTGGGACTTTATTTCATAAATTTTGTATCAATTCTTTCCTGAATGAAGTATGAATTAATCGATGGCAAATGTTGAGAATTCAAGTTCCATCAAAACATGTTAACTTGATAGAAGCAATCCATGTCTAACTAGCGTGGAGCTTTAGTTTACACGTTGTATGACAATTCTATCTCGAGCAAAGTACCAATTTATCTACGTTAAAATGTTGAGATTTCAAAAAAGAAGTGTTAACTCACTAGGACATTCAACTTGATTATCTTATTAACTCAAGATCATTTACTGTCCAATAGGAGAGAAGTTTCAATAGGACAGTTATATAGACAAACATGGTAGGTTTGTTCATACAAATCACAACACCTAGGACATCGAGTCACTCAAATTGCGACTCCTCAGCGTCTCACACCCATTTTGTTTTTCTCTATTTTGTTTGCAAGATAATTATGTGCTATCTCAATGTGAGATTTGGGATCATTTGTTTCTCATATTCATTCGGTTTTGACGTGTGCTCGTGGATTTGAGGTGTGCAAAAAAATTTGGGAAAAAATCATAAATAAGGTGTTTACTTTACACCAATTCAAAAATCAGGTTTATAGTTTGAAAATTCAAAAATCAGGTTTTTTTTTATTTTTATTTATGAAATAATAAATTATTAAATCAATTTATTATTAAATATTTAATTCTAATATAATATAAT